CTCTCGCTCTCCTCCCTGTCTCTCCAACCGGACTCCGGGGCTGCCTTGAATATTGTGGCGTGGAAGCAGATTTTTTTGGGGGGGGAGAGAAAAGGACTGTTGGACGCTGGAGGGGTGGGGTGGGGGTGTGAGGTAGGGTTGGTACGATGCCAACTCCCCTTTCGTGTTTCCCCGACTCCCCCGGCCCCGCAGGGATGGAGAGAAAGGGGGTGCGGTTGCCGTGAGCCACAGGTGTGCTGTGAGTTTTGCAGTGCAATGGACCCTTAGATTGGCGTGGGCCTGGGTCTGCGGAGAGGGACGGGGGAGAGAGAGAGAAGGGGGCAGCCAGACCCTGCTGGCAGGGGGATGGTTTGACCAGAGGGGGGTGTGTGTGTTTGTGTGCGTGTGTTTGTGTTTGTGTGTGTGCCAGCCAAGAGGATTCTCCAGCCCCTGCTGGGAGGGGAGGGGGCTCTGCAGCCTCTGCTCCGAGGGGTGGCACTTCCGTGATAAATTGAGGTGGTATTTTGGGTAGGGGGTGGTGTTGCCTGCAGCCTTGTGGACGAAGAGGGAGAGCGGCGGCGTTTCCCATCTCAATCGCTGAATGTTGTACAGAGGTTTGCACAACTGGGCCAGGCCCAAATTGTGCAGCCTGGGGGCGGGGGGACGACGGGGGGACGACAGGTGTGGTGTGGTGGGGGATGCTGGGTTACAGCAATGCCTCCCCTTCCCCACACCTGCTTGTAATGCAAAGGCCCCCCTCCGTTGGGGAGGGGGAGAGAGCAATTAAGGCCAATGCTCATTTGCATATGCTGATAAATATATAGATCTATATATATACATATATATATATATATAATGTGGCTCATTTTCAGTGGCTGATCAGACTTCTTGGCTCTGTGTTATTTTCGTCAGGTGGGAGGGAAAGGGAAACGGGCAAGCCTGGGGCCCGGCTGGATGCCCTTGAGGGAGCCCACGAGCAACCTCAGCCGCATTCTCTCTCCACGCACAGCCCGGCAAGCTGGGGGATTCTGGGAGTTGAAGTCCCCTCCTCTGTCTTAAAATGGCCGAAGTTGAAAAGACCCCGAACTATGTAAATACAGGCAGTCCTCGTCTTACGAACGACCGATGAGCCCCAATTTTCTGTGGCTAAGCGAGACGGCCATGAAGTGAGCTTTTGCCCAGTTTTACCCCCTTTCTTGTCCGTGAAGTCGGTCAAACGGTTGTTAAGTGAATCCGGCTTCCCCCATAGCACTCTTACTTGTCCTAAGGCCGCCAAAGGGGATCACATGACCCTCCCAGCCGTCATAAACATGAGTCTGTTGCCCAAGAGTCTGAATTTTGATCACGTGACCCCTGGGGAATGCTGTAATGGTCGTTAAGCGTGGAAAAAAAAACGGTCCTAAGTTGCTTTATTCGTTGCCATTGGAACTTTGAATGGTCACTAAATGAACCGCTATAAGCCGAGGACATCCTGTACAGTCCTTTGTAATTAGGGTGACAAAATCAAGAACTGCAGAATCCCCGTCGAGCTCCAGGAGGCAGCCCTGAGCAGAGATTTCCCCCAAACCTAACTCTGTCCTGCCACCTGGGGGCCGTTGCAATCTTTGCAACCCAGATTTCATTGCTTTTGTTAAGTCCTCGAGGTACAACCGTTCAGCAGGTTTCCAAGGGGTTACCACACTGGGAGGAAAAAAAAGGGGTTTATAACTGGACCTCGATCGATTTTTGAGCCATTGTAACTTTGAACGGTCGCTAAACGAGGTCGTAACGTCAAGAACAACCTGGGCCAGAACACTGCTGACAAATCATCATCTATCTATCTATCTATATATAAAGCGAAATTATCACTCGCG